ACATATACACATAGGTATATCATTGTTGATTTTTCTGCTACCTATTCTAAGTTTAGTGATGCATAGAAAACCTAGCAAAGAGATGGATAAAGTGGTGAAATTCATCAAGAGGAAAAGGAAGAGAATATCTAATTTTTAAGCTCTTTCCGTTTAGTCTTTATCCCATGAGTCTTAACACTTGAAGACCCAGCTTCATGATTATATCAATCCTTACTTTAGAAGTATGTTCCTTACATTCCCGTCCGATATTTATTGTCCACTTTTGACTTTTGGAAATATTTATTCATCAATTTTGACCTTAAATATTTTTATTTGTGTTATAAATTACTCGATGAAACTTATAACAATGAAAACACATTTAAAGCAAAATTCATTCGTATATTTTGCATCAAGTATTATATATCAAAAACAAAAATATTTAAGGTCAAAGTTGAAGAATAAAGACTTCAAAAGTCAAAAGTGGATAATAAATATGGGACAGAGGTAGTAATAATCAAAAGCATGAATAGCTTCTTCCCTCTCCATGTTACGGTTTAATAAGAAAAGAAAGAGATTTTTATAAAAAAAATCTCTCACTCTAGCTTATGATATATTATGATACTTATCGTTGAAAATTAATATTTCCATGAGACAAATAATTTCTAATTAATTACAAGAGTTATAAATATGTATCAAGAATCAGATTTTTATAAATAATATATTTGCATCAAGTTGTTGTTGGTGTTTACCATTTAGGATTATATATTATTATCAAATATCATTCTACAATGATTATTTAGCATACAGATCTTTCATATGTGCTCATAATTATTCTAATTATATGAGCCTTATCATTGTAGTCAACTTGTTTGATCAATAAAAATGCTTCAAGCCTGATGCATAAGATCTACCAGTCTTAACAATATCGGCCTAACTATGATGATATATTGGGACGTTAGCTACAATATTAGTGAATATCAATATTATGTACATATGTGAGTTCTTTCCAACATTTTTCATAATTTGTTTAAGGGAAAATGATGCAACGGTCCTACTATGTTTTGTGACTTCGCGTATTCAATCACTAAAGTTATTTTCTTGCCCTTTAAGGGAAGAAAGTTGATGCCGACCTGCTTTTTGGTCGCGGAGATCTAATATACCAGGTTACATAAGTCATGTAAGCACTTAAAGCTGATGTGACTTCATTCTCTATATGATTTGGCATTTTTTTAGTTCAAAAAAAAATAATAAATAAAACTTAAGGCCCATCAATCTCTCTCTCTCTCTCTCCTCTCTCTCTCTCTCTCTCTCTCTCTCTCTCTCTCTCTCTCTCTCTCCGCCTGTTATTTTCTTCTTGTATGGTTGAAGACCTTTCTCCCACCATCGTAAAGATTTCCCGATGCTTAAACTCATCTGTTTCATAACAATTTCAACATTCATAAATTAGTTTAATCCACCAGACCAACGCCCAAATGTACTGACAATTGGAAGAAAACAAGAAAGTTTAACAATCAAAAGGAAGAACAACATCAAGAATGCCCATGAATTCGGTTCTATTCCCGGGTTTTATGAACATGGTGAAATAGTAATTAAGTATTTTGAAGAATTTGTATCTAGTTATGTCATCAAATTCTTCTTTTTTCTTGTTATTTTGGTGTAAAGAAACAAATTTTATACTTAATTCATATCAGAAGAAACCTAAAGGCTAACTCCAAAACCCAAATCTTCATGACAGGGAAAAGTATAGACAATAATCAAAAGCAATAACGAGCAATTGCAGAAACCCTTTTAGTATAAATCACATAAATTCTATAAATTTTTGTAAGAATCGACACTGAATGAAGAAAAAGGTTAATGGGTTGAAATCAGAAAGCAAACTTTAACATCAGATGCATCAGCTGCTTGGGTAAAGACCATTCTTTTTTGAACACCGCCTAAAGCCACCTTCCGACCAAAGACATCACCGTCTGCCGATGATCCGCAAGTTAAAGATGTTGCCAATTTTGAAGAGGACACCAACATCTTTATCATTACAGGAGACGATTTGTCAAGTTTATTGCAAAGTAAACCATGGTTACATGTAGAAAACATATAATCGTTACTTATAATCTTAGCCATGATTCCTGAGTTTCGCGAATTCAAATTGATTGTAAGAAAAAGGTTTTTTGAGATGCAAGATGAAAGGTTTTTGGATTGCGTTCAGTCAAAATCAGAAAAACGGGGTTATTGAAACTATGCCTCTGTGATTAATTATTGAGAGAGAGAGAGGTTTTATTATTATTATTATTATTATTATTATTATTTTTATTATTATTATTATTTTTAGCTAAAAAATGTCAAATCATATAGAGAATGAAGTCACGTCAACTTTAAGTGTTTACATGACCTATGTAACCTAGTATATAAGATGACAGTGACCAAAAAAGCTGGTCGACATCAACTTTGTTTCTTAAAATGCATGAAAATAACTTTACGGAGTGAATGCGCAAAGTCACAAGACATAGTAGGGTTGTTGCGTTATTTTATCTTTGTTTAATTATACTATAATTAATGGGAGGGTATATTTTATTATTCCTTTCAAATTCCTCTAAGAATTTTAAACAACTTTATAAGCCAGTCAGGCTTTTTACTTTAATATATTACCATATGGAATTGAAAGTTAACAATATAATCAACATTAATAAATATTATTAAATGGAACTAATATTTAAGTTACATGATGAGCAAGATGAAGGGATGTGATATGAACCTTGAGGAGGATCATGTTAGGGTTTGATGTAATCAAGAACTCATAAGGAAAACAACTTATGCAGAGGAAGTATAAAATAAAAGTTCTATAACCCCAAACGATAGATATGTGTTGAATAATGTTGAGTTAGCTTATCTGTAAGTCGATGTTTTCTTTAACTCAAAATACAGAGTTGTCACGACTATGTCACAAATGAGTGTTACATTACGTTTTCAAGAATATCTCAAGGTTGACAATATATAATTAGGTAATTGGTTTACCATATATTAAATATTCAAAAGATAGATTATACAAAGGTTGTGAGAAAGAAAAACAACATACGGCTTCCTTCATGTCAAAATACTATTTCTCCATAACAACCTCCATCCATCTGCTGTACACGGACTTATTTGGACGAGTTCCAGTTTCTAGTTTATAAGAAAAAAGATTTATGTGTCCTGCATATTATTTGCGAGTTCACTAGCTTTTCTGGGGCCACCTTTCTTAAGAACAAAAATAAACAACTGAAGAGATCATCGCATTGTGAGGAGTTGTAAAACTCAACACACTATAAAGGTTAAGCAACCAAAAGTGATAATGGTAAAAATTTATGAAGTCTACTTTAGAGAACAATAATGATGACATAGTCATGACAACACACTATAAAGGTTAAGTAACCAAAAGTGATAATGGTATAAAACTCATTTGTGACATGTCAAACTATTTATGGTTTTCATGTGTATTAATTTGGGATGAATTATCAAGTATGTAAAAGTGGCAATTAATGAATAACAAAACGTTAGTCTAGTTCTAACACAACTAACAGCAAATTGCCGAGCCACAAATTAAAAGGAAACAAAGATTGGTGACGCAATAAGGACACAATCTCAATATTGCACAAGTGTAACTATCACAAATAGTTACTCCAATGATCGATGCAATTGCAACCAACAAACAACACCATACGTATATTGTTATTATAAGAAATGTTATTATAAAAATTGCCGAGCCACAAGTATGTAAAAGTGGCAATGAATGAATAACAAAACGTTAGTCTAGTTTTAACACAACTAACAGCAAATTGCCGAGCCACAAATTAAAAGGAAACCAAGATTGGTGACGCAATAAGGACACAATCTCAATATTGCACAAGTGTAACTATCACAAATAGTTACTCCAATGATCGATGCAATTGCAACCAACAAACAATACCATACGTATATTGTTATTATAAGAAATGTTTTCTATTGATTTTTTTGACTAATTTATGATGGGTCATCCTTCGCTAAAATCAACGTGGTGGTGGCTTACTCCGACAATCATAACTTGTACCTATTTTAATGACCAACTAGGCAAGTTTTTGGTGGTTGTCGATGCTGAATATTCTAGTATTGTTAGAGAGGTGAATCCTTGGGTGGCTTTGGTTGCAAGGTCGTAAGGAATAGAAATGACCAAGTAATAAAGATTGAACCGTCTTTGTGAAAGAGAAATTAAGGCACATGTCTGTAGCAAACATACGGGTTGAATCATAAACAGAAGCTTTTAGTAATATTCGTTTGAATGCAATTAAACTGAACGAAATAGAAACCAAGGGACTAAATGTAATTTAATTAATACTTTAGGGATGTTATATTAGAACTAATAAAGAAAATAAAGAAAAAACAAAACAAGAATCTTTTGTCAATGTGGCCAAGTTATTTCTAACAGTAGACAAAAACGTCAAGACTAAAACTTTCCCAAAAATTATTATTCTTTTCTTTATATTAATTTATATTGTATATGAGTTTCTGTGTATAGACTGTATAGTATCTGAGTATATTTGCATGAATCTATTTAAAAAAAAAAAACAATTCACAACAAAACATGATAATCTGTAATAAAAGTACCATCTTGTCAACTTTTTAGAGAAAGTAGAACATAATCAAATAATCACACCTATTTTTTTTTCATTTATTTGCTTTATGAAGTAGAACAAGACTGTATTTTGTTTTAAATAATTCATCTAAAATGTCAAAATTAATTAGTGAAATACCTTCTTCCCATCCCACCCCACCCCACGAGTGTGTGCAGAGAAGATTGAGACTTCTGTTAAGAATGCTTTTCCTGTTTCTACTAGCTGCTCCAAATTTTACACACAAAACCCTCTCCCAATTTCAAGATTTCTTTAACCAGAATATATGACGTTTTTGTAGCAGCATCCGCACGCACGTCTCTATCCTACACACAAACATCAAGACATCTCCTTTATATATCAAACTACAACAACAACCAAGAAACTATTACCTCTTCTTCTTCTTCTTCTTCAAATACGGGGATGATATTTTCAGACTCTTTCCGTTCTCTCTCTCTAAGCAATCAAAACCCTAATTCAAACCCTAATCCCCATCTTATCCGTTCCTCCTCCTCCTCCTCTTCTTCTTCTCTAGACTTCCCTCTTATGATCACCACTACCAGCTCTCACAACCAAGAAGACGATGAAGACGAAGAAGAACAAGAAGAACTTGATCTTAACCTTGGTAGTGGTGCAGGTTGCACCTTCAACAATGGTAAAATGATCAAACCAACCAAGACTTGTGCAAGAGGCCATTGGAGACCAGCTGAAGATGCTAAACTCAAGGAGCTTGTGGCTCTTTATGGTCCTCAGAACTGGAACCTTATCGCTGAGAAACTAGAAGGAAGATCAGGTACCTTAGACACCCTTTTAAGTTTTAATTAACCCTAGCTTTCATATGTGTTTCTTGTTTGACAAAATCTGTGTTTTTTGTTTTTTTAGGGAAGAGTTGCAGGTTGAGATGGTTTAACCAATTAGACCCAAGAATTAACAGAAAAGCTTTCACTGATGAAGAAGAAGAGAGGCTGATGACTGCTCACAGAATGTACGGTAACAAATGGGCATTGATTGCAAGGCTTTTCCCTGGTAGAACTGATAATGCCGTCAAGAATCATTGGCATGTAATCATGGCTAGAAAGTATAGAGAACAGTCGAATGCTCATAGGAAGAGAAGAATGTTCATCACTCAAACTGGTTCAGGATCCGACACTCCTTCTGCCACTCCACCACCACCCCCGCCGCCGCAGATCTTAATCCCCACCGATGCTCCTCCAACTTACAATGGGATGTTCCATCAACAGCCACCCCTTGGTTTTATCTCCGGTCAGTTCCATACATTTAGTTTTCACATCATGTATTTCCAAAAAAAAATACGTTGTCAAAGAATTTGACAATATCCGAAAGGACCATTAGTGTGTACCTTAACGTGGTGAAGTGACTAAATCATTGTACAAGTTCTAATGCATGATATACATGTTATTAGAAGTTTGTGCAGGACACTTTGGTTACCTTTTTGTGTCAAAAATATAGCTTACCATTTCCGTATGCAAAATGGACATATTTTTCAGGTGGCAAGAACAACAATCAAATGATGATGATGATGATGGATCACATCTTCAGCAGCAAGAACAAATGTTGGGACACGTTATCATCATCACCATCATCAAACACATCATGGATGATGGGTAATAGTACCAGCAGTACTAATTTCTACGATCATCAACATCAATATCATCATGATGATGATCGTCACAATGATCAAAATGAACATGCATTACCATTAATGATGATGACTGCTGGCATAAATCATCAATATTACCATCATCATCAAGGTTACCACAGTAGCAGCAGCCCCTTCTCATCAGTTGCAGATAATTCCGCCATTGGTACTACTCATTCAGTAACGACAGTAACACCACCACCACAAGTTTTACAAAGCCAGCAGTTTTCTGAGGCTAATATTGACATTTCACCCCCACTTATAGACTTTCTTGGAGTTGGAGCCACATGAGAAATCATATTTAACCAAGACCCTGTAGTTTCATTAACTCTTTTTTTATTAGCTTATGCCAATTTAAACTATTTGTCAATTTGTTAATTAATTACTCCCATCTAATTCTTTTGCATACCGAAATCGCTCACCTTTAAGTACTAAATTTTAATAAAGTGAGGTCAGATGTGTCATATTATAATAGAGGAAAATATCTTTATAATAATTTACTTTTAAGAGATTCATTCGAAAGACGAGTAACGGTCGAGCATCCTTTCCTCAGCAGAATCTTCGCATGTGTGATTGGTCATGTTATTGACATGTAACAAGCTAACAACAATGTCATCATCAAACATATGTTTAACAGAAATAAGTTAGATGAGGTTGGCCCCATTTGTGGTTTGCATCACCATGGATAGTTTTACTCCGTAAGATTTATTTTTTGTTAGAAATACTAATAGTTTTACATTATATCCCTGCTAGAAAACAACCTTTTAGCTATAGCAGATTCCGTAAGTAACATGTAGGTAAACCGGGTTATCTACGGCTTGCCTACAGAAACAGCTCCATAGAGACATAACTCGTGAGTAATTGGTTGTGATAGATTGCAATTTCCTAAGTACTACCTACAGGAATTACGGATTGCCTTATAGCTCCATCCATCACTAAAATGATTTTATTATTAAAAAAACATTTGTAATAAAATTCAGGTTTTTTCCGCCCAAAATGAAGAAAAACCCAATACATTAGATCTAAAATTACATTCATAATCAACCGTAAAAAATCATTATAAGAAAAATTGGCAAATACATTAAAATAGTCAAATACATTACAAATATTTAACAAAAACATAATGCTAAGAACTATTTGACGGATTACTGCATGAGTTGTTTACATGTCTCAAACTGGGCTGTCATTTTTTCTTCTAGTTGTGTTTGTTGCACATCCATTTCATGTTGTCTTATTTGCAACCACACATCCATTTCATCTTTGTCTTTTTTGCGATTGCAAATCAAATTCATTATGATTAATACATAACGATCAAGAGTTGTTCGAAGAATAGGCCTTTAAAGAGATTAAATATGATTATGATACGCATTCCCCGCACCCTATTATCTAGCGGCTCTTTCTGTGCGTGATTCTCTTTTATACTCTTGATTGGGAAGCAGACACTCTTCTGTAAACCTTCGAATGTTGGAGTATGTTCTCATGCATGAAAATATAACATTTCTTACTAGGATACATTCTCATTGGCAAATCTTAATTCAATATGACATACCTTTAGAAAGATGTAACAAGTAAATGAAGATCGAATAAAAGGAAAAATAATATACTAAGGATACATGTTCATTTTCTTTGTGTGAATTTACAAATCATCAAAAATCATACTTGCATCCAATCTATTCCATTTCTTTGTATGAATCTAACGGTTAAAAGCAAAAAATGGTTAAAAATATACAATATACTAATATAGTGATATATAATTATAATTCTTAAACTTTTAGCAATTAATTTGATTGAACTAAATATGGTGTTGAATGCCATTAGTGGCGTAACTAATGGTCTTAGTCCAATAAGCGTTCGGGAATTCGCTTTGCATAAGATAAACAAGTGCTAGGTTAGACAACCATACCGAGGGTTGGACCCCCATCATAGCTCTTTGATGCCTAAATTAGAGTGTGATTCTTAGTGTTTCCTTAATGCTATGTATGATGTCTCTTTTTTTCCTTACCTTACTCTGCCTCGGATACCATGTTTTTGGGGTATTTATAGGCTGCTCGTTGTTAGAAAAGTTTTTAGTCTTGACCGGTCCTTCATCTATTATTCGGTCTAGAAGCAGACACATCTCTTTTCCTTTCCTTTTTATTTTATTATTTCGTACCATTTCTTTTGCATGTTTCCTGGGACATGGTTCCGATACTTGTGTACGCTGTATTCGAATATATATTCGTTCGTAGGAAGTCATGGTGTCTATAACGCTGATCTAGTAAGTACCGGGTTAGTAATGGATTTCATCGTACTATCGGCATGGTACACCATTAAGCCCCCCAGTCTGAAGGGTAAAAGAATATTTTCGAAATATTTTTTCCGTTCAGGCTTGGAGATTTGCATTGGGTACTTGTAGTCTGTCGCATGGGGCGTATTAAATGCTTGCGTTGTCGCACGTCATTTCTCTTGCTTTGACTAGATTGCCATTAATAAATGCTTTAACCAGTCCCTCTATTTATTTAGCGAATAAGCCTGATTTGTTTTTAGAAACTTCTTTGCGTTGTGTCTTCCTTTTGATTTTCACATCATTACGACTGTTATCGGTGATGACATATCTACAGATACGTCCGAAGTGGACTGATGTATGCTGGGGCGATACACTCATGAATATCACTTGTCTCTTATACTTGGTTTCCAAGTTCCATCTTCATCTTCATTTGTTCTTGATGTCCTGCCTCGTAAGATTGGGGTTCTATCTTAGGACTCTTATTTGTGGGTTAAGGTTACCCCCATATCGTTTCTTTATGGAAGTTATTTGTTCCTATAAAGTTCATCTTGTTCAGCTATACTAACAAGTGTCAAAGATTGTTACTTTCGAAGTTTTTTGTGTCGCTAATGAAATACCGATAGAAGTCACCTTGTTTCACTACTTTTACCGCCGATCTACGTGCATTTGTTCCTTTATTTTCTTATTTATGTGTCAAAAGATCATTTCCGCTTGAAGTTGTACTTGCTTTGTGTCATATGAGCCCATTCTGGAAAGCTCAATGACAACTGCCAGTGTTATATGTATGTCATGCAGGTTTGTGTAACCTTTTTACTAGATCTGGTATAATTTCTTTTTTCCCTGGTCTCGGGTAATCTTCTGATACAAGTGCTACCTTCTGGTATTTTCTCTGTATTTATTGTTGTAGATGGAGTAGATGCTCCATTCAGCTGAAATCATATTTGGCTGGTTACATTTCACACGAGTCCATTATATTAGATGGTGTAGTTCCAGAACGATATGTAGACCCGATGATTTTGATACCCGAGTCTCCCGTTACACTTTTGGGGTTTGGGTTGAATTTGTTTTCTATTAATCAACTTCTGTAGATTTCTTGTCCAATGATTGGTTCTTCACATGTTGATTCCTCCAGCCCGGTAGGAGTAGTACCCCCAAAAATTGTTTCTCCTAATCGGAGCGGCTCCTTTCACCTGATCAGTTTGAGCAATTTTTACGTGAAATTTCCCAGGTGGGTCCTCGCTGCACCTCTCCTTTATATATGGGTCATGTTGCCCTTAAACTGGCTAGTATGTAAACACATTGCCTATGTTTTATGTGCTCCCACCTATGTTTTAGGCTTTAGTATAGTATTTTGTTTCGCTAATGCCATTTTCCTGGTTCCTGTAGATCGTTTCCCTTATTGCATACTGTTTGAGGAATAGTTAGACGAACCATTCCATTTTATAGCCCATGCTGAAAAAATTATTTCTACCGTACTTGGGCGGGATCTCAAGTTCTTTGACTGGTTGTTAACCTTACGAGATCGGTTTTAGCTGCAGAGGTAAATTTATGGGTTTTCGAGGGTATGAAGCTTGCAAGTGAAGAGATGTTGGTGAAGACCGGGGAGATGTATGACGAGCTGTCGATTCGTCACCTAGACGCTACAACCAAGGTTGCTTTGCTAGAAAATTAGAAAACTCTTATCCATGCTAATTATGAAACTTGTCTTCTGGAGAGCGTCTTACTACGTGCCCAACTCATTATTAAATCTTGATTGTGCTAGTTGTGTGAATCGGTTATGCTCTCTTTTGTTGGTTTTTAGGCATACATGAACTTTGTGTTTTGCTTGTGTGCCTAACGGATTCCTGTCATGTGGTTGATCTTTTTGGGACATTGTTATTTTTGGTGTGAAATTTCGTTGTATGTCGTGGCTGTTGTCGATGATAGTTGTTGCTTGTGGAAATCGTTAATTTGTGGATGGACTTAGATGATTGTAAACTTTGTTGTGAATCAATTGGATTATACATACCATAAATATATTTTTTGCGCCCGACGGATGTTGGATTGATACTTATCATATTTGTGGATGTAACCTGCTAAGCAAGCTACAAGTTTTATGAACAAGAAGTATGTTCTTTGGCTAAGCATGTAGTTTGTGTTGGAGTAATGATGCTTGATGTACACACATGTGTAGTTGACTGATCGAGCTACATGTTTTGAAGAATAAGTATAATCTTAGACTAAGCGGGTAGCATGTATCGGAGTAATGATACTCGATGTGTAAAAGGGTGTAGTCGGTGGACCGAGCTACATGTTTTGAAAAATAAGTATACTCTTAGGCTAAGCGGGTAGTCAGTGTCAGAGTAATGATACTCGATGTGTACATGGGTGTAGTCTGGGGACCGAGCTACATTTTTAGAAGAATAAGTGTATTCTTAGGCTAAGCGGGTAGCCTGTTTTGGAGTAATGATACTCGATATATACATGGGTGTAGTCGGCGGACCAAGCTATATGTTTTGAAAAATAAGTGTATTCTTAGGCTGAGGGGTAGCCTATGTTGGAGTAATGATACTCTATATATACATGGGTGTAGTTGGCGCACCAAGCTATATGTTTTGAAGAATAAGTGTATTCTTAGGTTAAGCGGGTAGCTTTTTTCTGATTAATGATACTCGATGTATACATGGATGTATACAAGCGTGTATTCAAGAATAAGTGTATTCTTTGGCTAAGCAGGTAGGCTGTGTTTATTTTTCTAATAAAGCGACTAGACCTTTTGTGGTTTGCGTTATCCTGCACGTGGTACATATAGGATCTAATGATAACTTGTTCGACTCATCTCGTTTTTGTTCCATCCGGTATACTTTTCCTAGCATATTCAAACATAGAACTTCCTAAGGTTTTTGATGTGCCATGTTCTTGGTATTGTTTCTTCTTCCATTGTTTGTAGGACGTATGATCTATCCCTGTTTGCTTCATGTATTATGTATCGAATTTCCCATGTTGGACGTAATTTTCCCTGTGGCTCCTATCTACTGGCCTCATT